GCTAACGTTAGCTACAACAGTCCTGGTACAGACACCAGAGCTAATGTTAGCTACAGCAGTCCTGGTACAGAAAATGCTATAGCTAGCCTATAATTAACCAGATGACAGGGTTCAGAACCATAGGTCTTGACATGTTGAATATATTGGTTGTAATTATAGTGTGAGTTTGATTAATCTGTGATTGAAGCAGACACATGGACAATGTAGCGATAATTGGAGTTTTAAAATGAACATTTTTGTTCTTCAACTTTACCTAGAAATGTCATGGATTAACTTTTGAATTAAACAAAGGTGTTAATTGTATAAACATTGATTTTACAAAGCCTATAATTAACACATATCTTTAAAATCTTGTGCCACCACCACTGTGTTTGTCTTGACTGGTACCTGAGTCGCGGACAGCTCCCCGACTCTCCTGCTGCTGTTGAAGGCATGAACCGTAGCAGTCGTCGCCGTCACCCTGCCGCCCGTCTGAAGGTTGATGGGCGATGTCTGCAGCGACTCCGAACTCCCAGCCTTCTGTCCATTGATGTGTGCGGTCACCATGGATACGGGAGTCTTGGCAGGTACCACGGAGATGGCAATGCTCTGTGAGGACGGTTTGATGAGAGACAGCGGCTTGTTGGTCCCCACTGGACAAGTTCTGACAGACAGCTTCTGTGGAGATACAGGAAAGGAAAGGTCAAACGGGTTTTAGAAGGTCACGATGCAGAACAGAGGGCGAACGTTTAATCCACCCAACAGCTAACAAGCAGCACCGTCAGAGCACTACAAGCAGATGTTATTTACATAACTGGACAAAGTCCCTTTAGGGCCTTTAGATCCATGGCACGGAGAGCCTGTCACCAGGAAGGTTGTGGGTTTGATTCCTTGGCCAGGCTCCAGAGCTGGTTTCCAAACACTGTGCCAAAGCACATATGTCATAAGTGAAGGTGATTTTTCAGATGTCAGTCTTTGAACACTTCTAAAACAGACGGAATACTGTTTTTTTTTTATATAATCAAGCTGAAGAAGAGACTGTTTTCTTATCAGAGAAAAGCATTTAAAAAGGTTTAAGTCTTGGAACGACCTTCAGGTTCTCCAGAATCCACAAGGATTTATCCTCCAGAGAAACCTTGGCTGATTTCTATGTCTGTCCCAGTAATGGACTCAGTGAAATGAAACTGATATCCATCTGAACATCCAGCCAATAGGAGGATTTAGTAAAATGTCAGTCTAAAGCCGCCTCTGAAAAATTCAAACTGGTAGGAAAAAAAAGCAGAGGAAGAGGTTGAAATGACACGGACCATTTTGTACTGAACCTTCAGCTCCTCTTTTGTTCCGACATGAACAGAAAAGCTCGTCTTTTGGACTATTACGTTTCCCTGAGGGGACATTTAAAGCAGTTGGCACATTTAACTATCCTGAGAGCTGCATGGTTATGGAACCTTAGTTGTGACAAAAACCCACTAATGTGTGCAAGGTGTGAAACAGGACAATCTGAGTCAATGTCTTAACACGGTCGTCCACATCGAGGTCTGAGCACAAAGCTCTCAAGACGATTTCTTTCTACGAGGTAGAAAACAAATTTAAATAAACTAATCACAGAAAATATTTAGTTTTTATGCCACAAAAAAAAAAAAACTGTTTTTTTCATTAGTTCTAATGGATGTTAAAGTTTCAGATCTATCCAAAATTTCTGAATGTGTGACTTTACTGTCAGGACAGGAAGTGAAGCTTTTCTGGTTTCTACTGCCCAGGCGAAGAGGAAGCAGACAATCTGTGGACTCACCGACTCTCCTCACTACGCTGGAGGAATTCAATTCTCTCCACAGCTACAGTTAAGGTCATCCATCAACACTACTGCCGCCGCTTCTGCCGCTGCCTACTGCCGACGTGGCGAGCGGACAGGATTATCCACACTCATTATGTGCTCTGTTTTGATAGTGTGCCTTTGAGATAACAGGCTTCTGAAAAAGGCATTAGTAGCTGTTCAGATTTCCATCAGCGCAGCTGCCAGGCGCTCCCTTTGTTTACACGCCATTTAGCAGCAGAAGCCCTTCAGTCCTGAGAGGTGCTGATGAGACGAGGAGCTGCTGTCAGCCCTTTTCACAAAACAGAAGAAGAAGAAGAAGAAGAAGAAGAACTTAGTGCTCTCACTCCACTCATCAGACTGAATGATCTGTTCTTTTTAGTCCAGGTTAGAGTTCATCCTGCTACAGAACAGCTGCTGAAGCCCGCATCGCCGGGAGGTGAGGTTTATTTCAAGGTCAGCAGCATCAACAGCCGGACTGGTGAGGTTTTTGGAGCTTTATCAGAATTTATGATCACGATCAAATTTAAAACAAACCACAGCTGGCTACTTGTTTTTCTGGGCATTCCTGGGATTTTAAAAAGCTCAAGTCAGTTTTTTTCAGATCGTAGTGACCTTGACGTCTGAGCCATTCTTAAAGTAGACAAACATCTGTGCCTGAGGAAGGACACCCCCCCCCCAAGACTTTTTACACACGCGTTAGCAGAGATGCTCAGTGTCACTGTAAACATGGCCGCCATCAATGACATCAGTTTGAACAGGTGTCTTAACTTTTTCTTCACAACATTTGACAGCTTTTCAAAACTGGGAACTACAGTTTGTTTTACTTGTCAAAGCAAACAGTCTCCCACACCAAAGTGTTACAGGAAGTTGCCAGGATACTGCTACCTTGTGGCATCAGATCACAAACAGAAGTGTTTCCACTTCTTCATAGATGCAGTATGACAACAGTCTGTATGGTGTGCTGTAAAATAAAATAACATTTTCTCTCTATATATAATTTGTGGTGGCGAAGAAAGCAGTTTTGTGAAAAGAAAAAAAAAATTGTCCTCTGATTTACATCTGTCACAAAATATATTTAGGATATTAAAGATGACGGCCAAACTCAACAGGAAGTGAGCCACAAGGTCTAAAGTTGCTTCGAACAACACAGCCCTAACAGAAGCCACAAATCTTTACAAAAGAAAAACACTTCAAGTACCAGAAGCTGCGCCCCCTACTGAGGTTCAGCGTCGTAGTAAAGCGTTCTCTGCTGTTGGACTTGATTGATTTCCTGTGGAGGTGAACTGAACCTCTGGCAGAAGGACAGCTTATCAGCTATGACACACAGCACTGACTCTGGCCACTGGCCCGCAGTCAGGAGGGGGCAGAAGGGAGACAGTATATCCCCCAGCCCCCCTGGCCACGCCCACTTCCACATGTGGAGGAGCAGCCGACAGAGGCACAAAACCACAGCAGTGTCAGAGAAATTTCACCGATCGAGCCGGATTCAGACGAACGTTCTGATTTCAGTGGAAATCAAACTTTTACTTTTGAATGAAGGAAAAAACAAATACCCTGATCATGTGACCAGCCTCCACCAGTCACACCTGCCACAGACAATAAATCCATTTAAATGCAAATCAGAGACAATTAGAGGCTGCAGGCTTCATTTCCTCACGTTTCAGTGGAATGTGACACAATGTGACAAACTGGAAAAAATATGCACAATCAGTGCTGATCATTGTGTGTATTGTGTTGCTGATCAATAACTGCCTGAATGGGTAATTAAGAGTTTCAGTAAAATGTAACTAGTTACAGATTTACTAAGGAGTTGACTGTTTAATTGACAAAAAAATGTATAAAAAAGGCAAGATAAAGTAAGAGCAACCAAATGATTATTATAATTATTAAAAATTACAATTATAAAAAATATAAAAACTATATATAGATATATTTTTTAGAATTTTGTTACTTCATGTTGACTAAAATTGCTGTACCATCAAAACATGACATAAAATATATATAAATAAACAAATAAAATAATTAATATTTGTAACAAAATGATATGGAATGTTCACGGGATTTTCATCGTGTTACAAATTTTTGATGAGGAAAAAAAATATTCTGAAAAGGTTTTTATTTATATATAAAGCTTGTTGCAATACCAATAACATGCTACGTTGCTAATGCTAATTTCCTGTTAATTTCCCTGTAACGTCCTGTTACAAATAATACAACTAAAACGCAACCAAACGTGGTTTAGAATTCCCAGTTATGTTATAACCACCACCCTGTCGTTATTAATAAACTACATAAACCGAGAAAGCGATCTGGCGATGTAAGTCAGGAAGCTGTTCCTTTAATATCACTCCTGCTCAGCTGAGGATCAGACGTCCCCCCGGGGACTCTGAGCATCTTCTTCTCAGCTCCACATTTATCAGACATCTTGGTGAGGGACGTGGCCCCAGGCCTTGGCTGTAATGAAGACATCTGCTCTGTGGAGTAAAAACTGACTCGCACTTCTTCACAGCTATAGCCAAGGATATTGACCAACGGTGGCAGCAGGCGACCAATCACAATCACAAAGCGCCAAAAGGTCAAACTCTATATTAAGTGAAGAGATGAGAAGAAACTCTGGAAGTGGCCCCGTGTCCACTGATGCTCTCGTAATCGTAGATAATAAGCTGGTGAAAAACAACCAGGCCAGTGGCGGATGACGTTATTGGTGCTGATTAAATGGCAGTTAGTGTCGGTGTGAGCAGGTCAGTCTACAGACAGCTCTGTCCAGAGCAGACATTTCTGCTGCAGGAACTAGAGACAGAACCAGGAACTATATATATATTCACCCACGTTCTAGGGATTTGTGATGAGCCTAGATAATGATTTTCTCATTGTCAACAAAACCGGATAAATATTCTCACAGTAAACGGATAGGTTTTTCTAAACTCCACTCAGACGGAGAAAAGTCCCTTATTTGTCCCATAATGGGGGAAATTTACAAAGAGAGTCCTTGCAACCCACACGGGCTGCCACAGGAGGCACCATTAAGAATATGGTTCCTCTGGGGCTTGAACCAAGAACTACAGCACGTAAGGCAGCCGTGATAACCACAACACTGTCGAACCTGTGTAGCAGTGAACTGTTTTACCTTGTATTTCTATTAGAATTGGCAAACAAAGGGTTTAAAATGTCTTCAATCACAGTACCGTAAGAAAAATCAGGTTTAATGCTACTTTACGCTGATGATGGACAGTTATTTTTCTACAAATAATTAAAGACCCTGTGAATTATTCACAGAATCTTCAGACATTTCTTTGGAGATCAGTAAAAAAATCCAACTCATTTCCAACCCTAGTAAACATTTATTTTAAAAATCCTGTATCAAACAACAGGCGGATTAAATGGCACAATTATTTCCCACGTGCCATTTTCAGACTGAGCGATCTCTTCGTCCTAGATTTGATCATCTCTTTCAAAGCTCTGCTGTCGTCGTTTTGAAGTAACGATCAAAATCTTAAATCTGGCTTTTCGTGAGACATTTATAGCAGCAGGAGCAGCAGGAGGAGCAGGAGGAGTATCAGCAGCAGCGTTAGCATCGCAGCGTCACAACTGTGCTCAAAATGTACTAGTTGTGCCAAAGAGTTGAGCTTTTTAAAGTCTTCATATCTTCCTATGGAAATTAGCATTTAGCTTCTTTTTCCACCACTTCTACTATTATACTTTGAGGTTAACGCACAAACAATGTGAGTGTGAATAATCACTCCTACACTATTTTATATTGTTTACTATACATGTTAATATTATAGCTCACTGAGTCTCTCCTTGTTTAAAACAATTAAATTACAAAAAAATTACAAAAAAAACTCAAGCTCAGGTCAGGGAAGCTGACTTCAGCAGTTAAATACGTGGACGAGAGACAGCTGGTGTTCATGAAGAGAGAGAGAGGAGGGAGGGGAAGTAATGGTGGGGGGTTAGCTTAGGGCCAGCAGATGGAAGTCTGTGAACAATAAAAGTAGACAGATGCAGCCACAAAGAGCAGTGACCACACACACACACACACACACAAATCACACACATCAAAAGTCTGTTCCAAAGTCCAGAGGCTGCAGTTTTGATCACAGACACTAGAGGCACAAACACAAATAGAAGATTCGTATTTTACATTATTATTATTTATTCTTATTTTTCCAGGGAAAAAAATCCTCCTCAGTGTTTAAATGCATGTTTTGCTCCTCTCAGCTTTCATTCTTATTTTTGACCTTTACAGTAATGCTCTCCCAATTCTTTTTTATTTATCTGTTCTTTTAATCTTTTTAATCAATTTATGTAGAACACGGGGATTTTTTTTTATGTGGATAAAAAAAAAACGGATTATGTAAAAATGTGTTCACTCTGTTCCAGACTTTCACAAACTCAAACAAGAGAAAATCAATCAGAGAGAGCAGGGACGTCACTGAACATCTGTCCATAGAGCAACACTGCATCTCTGCAGACATCTGAGAACTTCCTGTGTGTGTGTGTGTGTGTGTGTGTGTGTGTGTGTGATAGGGCAGGGCGAGGCGGAGTCATGTAGCTGGAGGCTGAAAGGAAACATCCCAACATTCTGCTCTTCAGAATTCGAGCCAAAATGGACACAGTAAACATTTCATTGCTTTTCTGGACACTGACGAATGAACCAAGAGGAAAGGACGTAGAGATTAGATTTAAAAGTAAAGTTTGATGTTGCCAATAAAACCAACAACCGGACCTGTAGGTCGGGTGTGCTGATTGTCCTTCAGACCAAGCGTTGCTTCGTTTAGCGTTTTTATCAAAGTCAATTAGCGCTGACAACTTAAAACAGGCAGACGGACGAACAGTCAGACCTGAATCGACCAATGACCTCACAGTGTACGAGGGAGTCCACGATTGACGTGGTCCTCGACCTACAGTGTTTCGTGGTTAGGTCGCCATTTCCCATAAATTTATTAAGAAACTCTTCCGACATACGGTGTCAGAACTGAACTAGTTCACATGGGAATTAGTTGCGGGGTGGATCAGACAGATGCGCCGTCATGTGGAGCTATAGGCTTTGTTTAACTTTGCTGGTCGTACATGGTACTGCGCTACATTCGGTTTATTTCGTTGTGTTGTTTTTTCATGGTTCCTAAGTGTAAGTCAGACTATTCTGATGTTATGATGTTAGCACTGTGTTAGCGTAGCTGAGTGACATAGCTACTTATGGACAGCATGTCGAGGACACCCTGTATCCTGGTATGAAAGGCTAAGAAAAACCACCAGTGGCTTTGCAACTTTAATTTTTTTTTAGTTCAACTTTAACTTAAATGTGTTATTGTGTGTGATGTCAGCGGGATCTCTATTAAGGCACCAGGGCTGGACTTGGTACATATCTGTCTGACCATCTGACCACCGGTCTGTCTGTACGCCTCTCTCTCTCTCTCTCTCTCTCTCTCTCCCATTCTTCCTCCTTTTCCCCTCATTCCATCCAATATATTTTTATTCTGTCTGGGCATCGAGCAAATATTGACAAAGATTATTTAAATAAGAGCAGAGTATCTGCAGCTCCTGCATCACAGACGAGGTATTTCTCACTGGCCACTCACAGAAGGAGAAAAAAAGAAGAGGAAGAGGAAGAGGAGGATGTGGAGAATGATGAGTCCTTATGTCCATAAACACGTTCTTTTTCATTTCCTTCTCCACAGTGGTTGCCTCGACTTCCTCTTCTCTCTATTTCCTCTCCATCACTTTGCTTTGACTCTGATTGGTTCATAAACTACAGGTGGACTTTTTTCTTTCTAACACTGAACTTGACCGTGATTCACACCTTTCAGCCAATAACGATGTCTCCGTGAGAGGGGGCGACAGCGGTTCGCCTTCACGGCGGCCTTCATCCACAGTCACTTCAAATTAGATCCGGGAGTCAATACAATGAGTCAATATTTAATTTTCTCAAAGACTCACTGGATGAACAGCCACCGCAACAGCCATGTCTGTTCAGATGCAGCAAAGAATGATGGGAAATCCACATAATACAGACAGGGCTCTGATCTGCGGGACAACAACTAGCACTCTGAGGAGTCAGAGGTGGAGGAGATCAGTGCATGCTGGGACACGGTGTGACGACAGTGTGACACAGCGTGTGTTTTTAGGTGAATCACACTTTAATGTGTCGTCGCTGCTTCTGATTGGCTGTTAATCGGCGTAGAAGCAGCTGGAAGTCTCCTGAGGATAATTTACGGCTTCGCTCCGTCGTATTAAGACGTTCAGCATCAATCTAATGACGCCCGAGGGACGTGACGAAAGGCACGACGACTGAGTGACACACTCACGACAGCAGAAGTGTTTCAAACATGACACACTCACGACAGCAGAAGTGTTTTGGTCAAACAGGAACGAAGAATTACTAAGAACTAAGACAGCGTGTGTCGTCCAACACTCTCTGATTCTGCTGGTTTCTATGTCAAGTTCTGCTCCGTGTTCAGTCACAGCACTGACCTCGGCCTCGGAAATTACACTCTTCAAATTCACCCAAATACAAAATGACAAATAGATAATGACAGATGTCAATTTCACAAATGATGTTATTGTAACCCACATATGTATTGGTGTGTGTGTGCGTGTGTGTGTGTGTGTGTACACACCTGTCCATTCTGCAGCTCATTCAGGCCTTTGCATAAAGACTGACTCTGTGGAAGAGAAATGAAGAAAATGTGTAAACATCAGCTGTAACTTTGTTTACTACAGTACATGAGGTCCTCGGTTTACGACGTCCTCAACCTACAGCTAATTCATTGATAAAATCTCGATCCATCATTCAGTTCGGTTTACGACGTCCTCGACCTACAGCTAATTCATTGATAAACTCTCGTTCCATCATTCCGACGTACGACATGAGGAGT